ATAAAAAGAAAGAAAATGAGCTTATCGAATTCATTCGGAATTCATCAAGATTTCTAATATAGAGAAGTACTAGTCGAAAATTAATAATAGATAAGTTCCTTTTTATGTTCAAAAACCAAGCGTGATCACCTTGCAGTTTTCTTTTTCTCCTAAACCGGGATATTCTGGATTCTCAATTGGGTAAAAGAGCTATCGAAAATGTGAACAAAAATATAAACTACCGATATAAAAGTACAAATAAAAATATAAGAACGTAAGGTAATGAAGCTTCCAAAATTAGCGTTTCCTCATTAAGATTCAATTTAAATAAGGTACTAGGAGTTGTTAAGGGCACGTGTGGAGCAGTAGTCGGAGGTGCCCTGCAACCTCTTCAACCCCGCTCCCATTACCCACCAAACCTTCCATTCCTCCGGGGTCGACAAATTGGTACCAGACTTATCTGGAAAGATAGCAGTACTGGCTTGATACATGGGCAGGCCACTGCGACTCATTGTAAAGGCCAGATATGCATTCAATCACCTCCAACGATACTTAATGAAGTCGAATGCATGGCGCATCCCTTCAGGGATTGATGAACGCCGAGTCTTATGCTTTATCCTTTACTAGGAGTTGGAAACATGCAGTGTTCAAAAAAATGAGCAACAAATGGAACCATTATCATTTCTATAATGCTATCGTTTCAATCGATAACTATAGAAATAATACATAACTACTGTTCAAGCTTAAAACATAACATGGAATTCGATCCGATTGAAAAATTAGAGGGATCCTTTAAATAATGCAGTAGTATTGGACGAGAACAGGAAAAACAGTGGAGACAAAGGTAAAGAAGGGAGAAGTGCTACTAGGAAATACTAATACAAACTTTATACAGTTACGAAGCTTTCAAAGAGATTGAAACGAAATCTGACGCGTAGACTTGATGGCAGAAGTCAATAAACAAAGATCGCTTTAGTATAATTGATGTGTACAAGCATAGGGATGCTCATATATAAACAACCAATAGGCAATAAAACCATCCTAAACCACCGAATTATCCATAAAAAATAAAAACGTTTAGATTTACTAGAATTTTCAAATACGCTCTCTTCTAATGATTTTATCCCTTCGTAGTTCCTGACGAAATTACTAAGCGTCGAACTGCAAAGTACAGAGCAAAGCCTTTCTACTTCTGTTCAGCAAACGCTAAACTATTGCGCTCAGTATTTGGATGACCACCTCTGGAGAATAGTGGGTGGGTCAGCGTTGATTTGCAACTCCATTAGGTCTAATGCTAAAGTAACTTTGCAGAGAAAATTCGAGGACCTTTTGAGTAAATCGCATAACACAGCTTCAATAGCGCACAGAAATATCGCTAACAAAAATCAAACAGATCACAACAGGATAGGTAATGTGCAAGAAAATTCAAGGCTAACCGTGTTAGGAGACATGACTCTCCCTGACGGTGCGCGCTCGTTATTAGAATTGGGACCGAGTTTCTCACCATCTGAACCCATTTCTAAGATAACCTTGCGTAGGCTCGCATGTAGTTTACACGAACTACAATATAGACGCCGCAAAAAAAGCTAGAGATAAAGCGCGAAATAGGTGCGAATAACACCAAGTTGGGGCCCTACCAGTAGCACCATTTCCTCAGCCGTTCTTTAGACAACAAGAGCCCAATAATGAAGTTGCTGTTAAATTTTGGATGTTTACGAATGAATCTCCCAAAGTCCTTAATCACTATCGCGCGAAAAGATACAGTTCAAACCTCACTGAAGTGCAAAAACGTGGTATGCGAGAGGTAAAAGAGCCGATAAAGTTGAAAAACATAAGACTATCAGTTAGTGATAAGGGTGGAGGGTTTGTCATAATTCCCCATCAGTTAGATGTTGAGATAACGAAAAAGCATCTTGAAGATGCTTCTCTTTATCGCCCATCATCTGAGAAGGAGTTTAAAAGTAAATGCCGAAAATTAAACCACGAATAGGCCAAAATGGCAAGGGTTGCTGGTTTAAAACCATCAGTTATCTCTCAACTAAAAGTTGACTTACCAGTGTGTCCCGTCTTGTACTTATGAAAACTTATAAGTTAGTATCCAGCGATAATCTTGAGTCTACCGATCCATCATTGTTTAAGGTTAGACCTATCATTAGCTGCGTAGACAGGCCAACGGATAGGATAACATGGTTTTTAACCCTAATATTTAACCAGTTGTTCAAACACATTCCAGCCCATCTTACGAAAACCCAGATGTTTCTGGATCGTCTACGTACTACGCAGCCCAGCAGAGCGTACGTGATAGAGTCCTTCGACGTTACCGCCCTTTATACAAACGTGTCGAATGACTCCGCAATGCAAGCCATATTCGAACTCCTTACACAACACGAAGGAGAAATAAACATGTATGGCTTCAAGATAAAGCAGTTGATGGCAATCTTAAACTAATGTTTGAGCTGCTCAATCTTCGGATGGTCCGGAAAGTACTAAGCTCAAATAAGAGAGTTGGCAATGGGACAGCGACTGGCACAAAGTCTTGCCATTGCGCTTATGTCTAAGGTAGAAGCAACGGTGATTGATCTCGGGCAGATACTCTACTGTAGATACATAGATGACTGCTTTGTTCTTTGCTCAACACAAGAGGAAATGGACAAATATTTCGAGTTGTTAAATTCACAGTCAGAGTATAACAAGTTAATCCGAGAGGAGCCGAAAGATGAATGGCTTCCATTCCTGAACGTCGAAATTAACCTGTCAGAAAATGGCTACATTACGAAGTGGTACCAAAAGCCAAGTAGTAAAAACATCCTGGTACATTACCTCTCTTCTCACCCCTCTCACACGAAAGAGCGCTTGTAAGAAACATGTTTCGAACAACAACCAAGGCGTGCACGTGAAGAGTGCAGAGAGAGGAGTCCAGGAACTTGGCGCGGCAAATAACCATTTCCGATGGCTACGAAACTGTAGCTCGGGATAGGTGTAGAGAAAATCCTAGACCCCCAAACAACAACTCTAGCGATGGAAAGGTTCCGTTTATCCTATCCTTCATCTCAAATGATGCAAGTCCAGCTATAAAACGCTGCTTGAGAAGGGCGGGTCTAGAGAATTCGGTAAACGAGACTGAAATGCCACCGAGTACTCTTAGGCGCCAGCTAGTTCGTAACCGCCTATATAACCGACCTATATGTTCAACGCAAAATTGCATAATCTACCCCAATGGTAGAGACGGTGACTGCATAACTTCATGTACAATCTATCTGATCTCTTGTAAAGCGTGCGGGGGGCGAATACATTGGCGGAACGGGAAGACCCCTCTATGTCCGCATAAAGGAACACCTAGCCGACAAACATAAACCGAATACCCCGCTAGGCACGCATAGGACCCAGAGACATAACGGGAGGACTTTGAAGTTCGTGTCACGATCCTCGCACAGGAATCGAGAACACAAGCGCGCAAAACTCTCGAAGCCTTTCGGAAATACTCCACGAATTCGAAAGTGAACGGCATTGAAGAATGCCTCATTATCACGCGTGATATTGGGCAGTATACAGGCCTGTTATTCTGATGGGAGGGCACATTACGCTTCCATGTAAACTCTGTGTGGTTGGTCTCCACGCAACATACTCAGTGGAAAACTCATAAAGCGGCGAGTGTGCAGAGCGGTGTTAAATGTGATTGAAATTTTGGTTTAGTATTTTCTCTTTTTGGTTATGGAGGTGTTTGGCCGAATAGATTGCTATCAACTTAACCTTTCCAGGCTCTGAGGAAGGTGAAACCCGCCGAAACGTCAGCTTGTACGTAAATAAAGAAATAAAATAGCACCTCGCGTTTGCTGAACAGAAGTAGAAAGAATTGTACAATCAATGCCGAGGTTAATGGAAAGTCGAACGTGGGAGTTACAGAGCAAAGTCGTCCACCCACTTCCACCCTCCACTCCAAAAGAATCTTCCAAATTGCCCAACTCGGAGTAGACCAATGCTAGAAATAAAATGCCAGCGTCCTGACAACGACTTAGTTTTAGATTGGAAAACCTCTTCTAAACACAAGAAGGCCAGCATCCCTGGTAATGAATTGGGAAATCCTTTAAAAAAATTTGTACAGACTACCGCCCCAAGGAAAGGAAATCCAGTCGAACGAGAAAATTACCAATCGGAAAACAATCTGGAGCCTTCATGAAAACAATGCTTCATGAACATGAATTTATTTACCAATGTAAAAAGTAAGTCAAAATTTCGTTAACTGGACCTGGTGCACGAGATGTTTACGTCCAATAAATTCTACGAACATCCCAGTTCCCCTATTGTGATAGTAATTGATGTGTCAACCTGTGAAAAAACTTATAAGAGTTATTCGAACGGTGATGTTAGTTCAGTTTTTAAAGGCTTTTTTTCAATGGAAGAACGGTACTCGATAAGAACACGAATAAAACTAGCAGAATTATGGCTCGGCGCTTCTAAATTCAAAACCAGTACCTAGGAATAACTCCATTATAGGTTTAGGCAATGATTCATAGAATGGCTATATAGATTACACTGAACGCTGGAAAAAATAAACATCCGGAAGCGAAATTAGGAAAGAAGCTGTTAAAAATAATAAGTTGTTATTACGGAAACCAAAGAATTGATGATGAATGCAAGTCTAGGAAACGATGGAATGCATGGAATCCTGTCTAAAGTCTAATCTGTTACGACTTATATGGCCCGGTTTATCTAGTACGAGTTTCTTTTTACACAACAGATTTCACCAGGTCATCTTGATACGATGTTTTATTTCATCAGTATTGATGGAATAAAGTATAAATTTCTGTAGCGTTCGACGGAATAGAATGGATAGAGATGAGGTAAATCCTCCTTTGAAACTCAACAAATAGCCTTCATTGAAATTTATTCAACACTTTCTTTTCGAAAAAAAAAATGGACTAAAAAGAGCGGAAAACGGCAGTAATTCGTACCACACAATTCAATCAATTCCTACGAAGGTGCTTAAATGAAAAGTGTATAAGAAGAATGACAATGATCGCTTAGTTTTCGTAATCCGGTTCGTCATCATCCATTCTCACATTCACACTAAGAAGACGTCGATCATCAAAAAAGTAAAGTCGGCTGTCAACCGGATTGTAGTGCAGCATTGTCAAGCCCTGATATGGATTGTACCACGCCACTTGGCCCGGAATCGTCTCATTGCTGAAGATGAACATGTTTAGATTTTGCGAAAACTTCTTAAAGGCTTTTTGAAAGATTTTCTTCCCTTTGTGTGCCACGTTTTTTCTTCTCAGCCAGATTTCTTTTGTATGTATTAAAGCTTTTATACTAACAGAAATTATTTTCGAGATAGTAAAGGAACTTTAAGTCTGGGAACAGATAACGCTGACGTACTGAAGACACCCTGTCAGAAACCAAGCTGATATTTTCAAGTTGAAAAATGTTCAGTTAAGAAAAAACGACATCACAAACATCAACGTAAAAAAGAATCCTGACATATGAGCAGAACTCGGAACCTCAGGTGCGCTTCGAACACGCGATTACTCCTTCCGAGGGGTTCACGCTCCATCCACCGAACCAAACACACCAAACGAAGCCCTTGCCTTGCCTTTCTCTCAGCCATTTTTACACCTTAGGCAAAGCTGCATTAGCTTACACATTTGCTGTATACATTTTAATGCACACGCTCCTGGGTATACTTCGGAATATAAGGATAGCACACTCCACCTCAGAAATGGTCCGATAGCACATGGAAGACGATTAGAGGACGTTTCCAGCGAAGACCACCAAATTCCAAGATCGACTTTCGTTTAACCTCAGAATGGATCAATAATTCACTGTTTTTCTTGATGACCAAACAGCTTCTATGAATTAATAAATGCTGTTACAACAACCTCGCCTTTCATCATCAAGAAAAAGTGCCATTTGTGTTTCAAAATATCCCAACAATATATTCTGGAGTTCAGTAGCCGCCATTGTAAAGCATTGAGATGTACGCATGCATACCACCCCACCAGGAAACGTTTGAGGGCCTCATACGAAGACTGTGGTGTTCACACCGTCTTTTGAGAGAATGGAGACCACTGTGTGGCTCCATGGTACGGAGAGGACGAATAAAGTTGAGTGGTGCTTGTTCGAGCCATTTAACGAATAACGGGAAGATAGGTGATACAGGTGTTTATCCTCTTCTTAAAAGAAATTGACCACCATTTGACCATTAGCTGTGCGAACCACAGCAAAATTTCCATTTTTCAGAGTTTCGCTGGTTTAGCCACTGTGGTTCACTGGAATCCCGAGATCAAACAGGCCAACGCCTACCCCAGGTCGTCACCACCACAAACGGTCGCGGCCCGTGTGGATCAGAGTGAGATTTGCACCATGCGATTAGTTTTATATCAGCACGGTGGTGGATCCTGGTATCGATAACGGTGATACTTAACGAGGAACAAGAATACTGAAGCATATTGTGGACCATCTGCGAATACTCTTTCACATGGCTCTTTATAGTCGAAAACACTGTCGATTACAAACACTACGCCTTCCATACTTGTGACGATATTCACTCCCACGATCTAGCAAGTCCTGTGTTGTATGTTTTAAGTGAATTTCATCTTAAACACTCCCATTCATCATTATTTCGACAATATTCGAAGGATACATAAGCAAAATTCGTAAGCACTAAGACGTTATCTAGACATGAACCATGAAAATTGACAGAACACGTTTTTCAAAAAATCCTTAGTAACAATCACAAACATATGTTATGATAAAAACCTTCACGCACTTACACTAAAGTTACGGGTATTCTTCTGCACGGTTCGTTTAACGTCAGTTGTAACGCCTGTTAAAAACTCTCCAATTACAGGAATTACAGCAATGTATATTAGTACGCTGATTCTCGAGCAATTACTCTCAGCAAGTACTACGGTAATAAGGGACTTTCAAAGTAATCTACAGTTCGGCTATTATTTCTGCAGCAATAAATGAAAGGTTACTGTTCACAATAATAAATTACACCTAAATCACCGGTGGTAGCACTCTATATCACCAATATATCACCTATACCAGTTACTTTCGCTTATAATAGATGTTTCAACCAGAACGCGAAAAATTCTCCAGGAATCTCTACTGGATGCCATAATTGTTGCTCTAGGGAGGTTCTAGGTAGTTGTTCGAACGGTGAGAGCAACGTCATATTCAATGCGAGTCCTGCTCTTCGTTTAATCCTTCGTTTTAACAGAATCTTCTGGCTCACAACAACAACAGCGTATGTAGCGTAGTAGTTAGAGGTGTCCCCCAACAATGAATTTAATCCTTGGTCTGATCTCGCGCTGTGGGCTACCAACTTCTTTCGGTGTCATTAAGCTCACAACAACGGCAAATTCGCAGCTTGTGATGGCTGCCGTTAAGTGAGTGTGTGATGAGTGATTGACATGAGTGGCTCCAATCAAAACGCTGGAAGTCCACCGGAGCAGATAGCAGCGTATTTCACTCGCAGAAGCGTCAACAGTATTTCCATAAACCGGAGCTTTTCAATTGCTTAAAGCTGTTTTTTTTTCACCTGAATTGTTATGAGAATGCTCTACATTTGACATCCATTTCCAGTAATGCCAAATGTGCTGCAGGCGGATCTAGTTTCAGTTTTCTTCTTTTCTCAAGCAACTTCTACTCCCTGATCGGCAAATCGATAGAAAGAATTCTGCCCATATATAACCTGCAGTTCTCTTCCTGAAGATACAAACTGCATCCAGTTTGTGGCGAAAAATAATCACTTGAAGGTGGTGGTAGGATACAGCGCAGAACAGCAGCCCTGGTGATAGTCAACAAGCAATCATCTAGGAGGCGGTGATTAACTTCCTCTTAAGTTGTTTCGCTTGGCGATTCTTACGTACAGCTGCGAATTTTATCCTCAAGAAACACTTCCACAGAAGATGCCTGTTGTTGGCAGGTGTTCAGCAAAGAATTTCCACTCCTTTTGCCGCGTTCTTTTTCATATTTCCGTATTCCATATTCATGTTCGTTGACCCTTGTTTTTCTGTCCTGATCCGGTTTCAATGTCGCTCATTGGAAATTGAAATCCAATTGCTTCTAACTAGTTATGATATTTCCCGACGTCGCATTTGGAAGCGAGCAACGAGAATGAGGGGAATTGAGGGTTAGTGTACTCCACTGATCAGTTTCCATAGACTTCCGCTGGCGCCATGTTAAGGTTTCTCAGATCACCAGAAGCAGTCTTGTGACTCTTTCCTGATAACTCCTCACATTGGTTTAGCCATTACGGCGAACATCTACGAACTATTAAACTTCTCTAGGCGTATATAGAAGCTAACTACTTTAGTGTTAAAAACAAAAATCAAATAAAGATTAGAACGACTAAGACTCCTTCACAAGTACTTGTCATAGAGTAAAATAAAGCAAATCAACAAATATGGATACATAAATTGAAAACGGTGGCCTAAAATGGCACAACTGGTGAATGAATGTATGTTGAGATGGGTTAGACTTGAAATGGAATCAGCTTTGATGCTGTTTCATATAATCGTTTTCTCATGTTATTCATTGTAATCTCGATAAAGAAAAGCGAAAAAAGTAAAGGAACAAAATTAGAAGGAAGAAAAGGAAATAGATCGAAACGGATGCTTACTGAAAGCTTGGTTTAAAAAATGAGAGGTACTCATTTCACTCACCTGAAAAGATCGTACGCGAGACTGATTCGTGAGTCCCTGGTGGTCGCGCTCTGTAGTCCGTACAGTACCCCGCACATAATGAACGCGTCGGCCAATTCTGTGCCATTCACATCAGGTACTTCCCACGTGTCGACAATATAGAAGTCCTGACAACGTAATGAAAAGTGAAGCTACTTGATATCACGATTTTATGACTACGGTATGGAAAACTACGATGGAAACTCATTATTTTGCTAATATGAAAGAAAATTATCAGTTCAACTGTGAAGGACAAGTTTCCTAAACACTACACATAATTTTTAAGTTCCTCTACCCTTCTTTTCTGCAAGGCTCCAGCAATGCGAAATTCCATGGAATGTTTACGGAGTCACGTCCTATCCTATGTTTGGAAACAAATGGAGTGAACAGCATCCAACCTATCCGTTCCTTTTTGAGAAAGGAAGATAACTAGTGATAGTGGAATATATCATTTAACAAATCCAATGCGGATACTCACCGGTTCAATCTTGCTTACGTAAAGGGAGTAACTATCTGGACGCATGTAAATCACCCAGAGGCCATTCTCGTCGGCAGCAAAGTCGACATAGTTATGCGGACGACTGTACAGCCAAGGATGCCTCTCTGTTTCATTGCAATCCTGAACTTGAATGGAGAATAGGTAAGTGATAGGAAACAAAAAATTCGAAGACAAAGCATAAAAATAATGAAATCAACTTCGTGACCTTTTCGACTGTTTCATTAATATTGCTATCTCATCTATAAATTCGCTTAAACAGTGGATGTTATTGTGTACTATATAAAATGAATAGGAAAACGAAATTCGGGCCATAGCTCAATGTTCTACGCTTCGTAGATGAACCTTTAACAGGAGATCAAAGTGGTGAGGATTTAGTTGTGAAGGGGTGAGGTTCAAACCGGAGACATCGCACTCACCAATAACATTTGGTTGCACCAAGCTGTAAACCTTACGAAGTATCGAGAAGTAGACTATTATGAGCAGCCCAAGATTAAGAAAAAAAAGTGAGAAACAAACCTCAAAGGTGTGATCAGGTAAACGCCCGCAGTCTCTATGGGCAATATCGCCAAGTTCAGCTTCGATCTGATCAGTCGTTTCCAAATCGTATCTGAAACGAGCAATATCTAAGACGGACTTCGATAATAAAAAATAAAAAGGCTTGTTATAAAAATTCGTACTCTTTATATATAGATGACAAAGGGATTTTAATACAGTCAAGAATGCCATTCTAAACTATAAAACCTATTTTACAGTCAAGACCGAAGGTTCAATATTCCAATGCTAAATCAATAAAAAAGTAAAGGAGAAAGCAACCACCCTTGACCAATCTCTAAGGGACATGCCATGTATTCGACACCATTCATAGCATCGTACATGTGATTTAATGCATATTTGGCCTATACGATGAATCGCGGTGGTTACAAATGTGTCTTATCCGTGTTTTCACTCTTTCAGAATAGTCTTGTACTAATTTTCCGAGGCCTGAGGGATAACAGCCTTGGTTAGCCTGGGAAAGGCGACAAAGGCGAAAAACTAAGGAAAAACTGTATATTACTGAACACCTTTAACCACTGCTCTAAACACCGCCTTATTCAAAATTCTGATTTACTGAAAAGATTGGCATTCTCAATGAGTAAGAAAACTGTTCTCGATAACTAACTATTCCTGTAGTATTCGGAAAGAGAACCAGAAAATGGAGAAATGACGAAAAAAGACGATACTTCAATACCACTATAAACGATAACAGCAACGACATTCATCAATTTACCGTACTAAAGCTGTAGAACCGTGTTTGTGATAATAGTAAGATCCGTTGTAAACGAGATTTCCAGTACCGGATGCGAGATAATCTACGTAGTACCTGGAAGATATCTCACTACCTTCACGGTAACAATACGAGGCACTGAAATCGACATTTCACTTACTTGATATTTTGCACTTTGTTCATCATTTGCCGCTCATTTTCGTATTCGTAGAGAACCGGTGATGCATAACCATCGGTAACCCAGCGTTTTTCAGCCATATAGTCGGATTGTGGGTGCGCATCACGCATCCAGGAACCGACCTAAATCTATTATACGTAGAATTACGCAATACAATTATACCGTTTTTTATTACATGTAGTATATAAAACATTATCTGACATCATTTAGTATCCCGTTATTTTCAGGAAAACCTAGTCTGATAGGACATACGACTGCTAAAATACTATTGCGCGGCACCTGATATCCCAGCACGCCTTCCGATCGTTTCTTTGCCTCGCACTCAACACCCACAAGTGTGGTCGGATTCACGCGTAAATCCGGTTGCAACTCGAGGAACCCCTCCCATTGTAGGCATGTTGAATGTTGATCGAGCATGATTCTCCATAGAAATCAGAAGTAATGTTAGCAGACTTTTCTGAGGTCGTTATCACATGCAGTTTGCCAACTACTGCCGACTTAAAGGTGGTCTTCTGTCCTGTCACTCAGAATCAACAAATCGAATCCAATATATAAACTAAATTTTATATATTTAGCTTCTAGCAAAATATAATAAGCAAAACTCGGCACATCAAGGCAGGCTTCGAACTCGTGATTATTCATTTCGTCAACATGAGGTCTGCAGGTGAGATTTTATACATACGTACAACCAGACTGCACATACTGCACGACTCTCAACAATTTTTTCATTCGATTGGTTCCCTAGCATCCGTCGTCCACAAAGGTGTTTGAATTTGTAGGTGCATTCAACTGCCAATCAAGGATTTTGTCTTCTTCATGATTGCTGTTAAATGGTGATCAAGTTTATTCTTCTTGGAATCCATATTAGACCTATTAACCCTATTAGACCTCTATTAGAGCTTCCCAAGTCTTCATTACAAACTATTGATGGACTTGGACTAGAGCGAACTTCACCCAGAGATGCTTGATATCAGTTAGTTGATCTTAGAGCGATAGGAGGCTTGAATGACCCGCAGCGGAAACGAACCAAGAGCCTCGTGTGTATTGTACGGTATTTCCTACCAGCAAGCTTTCCGCGTCCGTACTATATAAGTACCAATAACAAAAAAAAAATCAATAAGTAAAAAACACTGTGGCCATACAACCTCACACCCATCTTAATAACACCCCACGCTTCACCAAAGACTATAGCCGGTTTGCTTTTCTATTCCAAAGACTGACTGCATTTAAATTAAGGATGAAAAGTGCATCCATACTTCTCCATATTGTGACTCAGCATGAAGAACAGGAATTCCCACAGCAGCCAACATGCATTCTAAAATGAACTTCACTTACCATAAACAAAAACACTTTATTCATTCAAATATTCTCCTTGAACTTCGACTAATTTCGATTGTTTTAGAAATTCGAAAACCTTACAATAGGCCACTAATGAATGAATAGCAATGCGTGATATGATGAAAGTGCATGTGTAAAGTCAGTAATTTCTTTAGAAGGATTAACAAAACAAGTCCATCATAATGATTAATACAAGTCACAGGTGCTGATCAACAACCACAAGCGTCCACACTTGACTAATACTCATATTTTACATAATAATTAAAACTGCCATCCATTTAGTATGCTGTGTTGCTTAGTTGTGCGTAATCTATGTGCTTATCATCCATTTATCCCATTCTATCTACTATTCATTTATATTCATTTATTTCATATTATATGATATTAACTTATTATATTATTGTTGTTATTGTTGTTGTTATTATCACTACCATTATTATATTACTGTATTATTATATGGAAATAACAGATGGACGAAAAGAACAGTAGAGTAAACTGCAAGAGAATGCAAACGTCCCCTTGGACCACCACCTACACGTTGGGCGGACGTGTTCGTAAACAAAGTTAATCAGCCGTACCCGAAGCTGGAGTTGTTTTACAGATCACGGTATGAGACTTGCAAGGGCTGCCATTCTCGAACAAGACCACCACCATGGTCTACGAATGCGAGAGAAAGGAACGAATGGCATATATGCTGTGGTCCGCACAGCTCGTAAACACGGACCGTCCAAGTATCCAAGTAAGTAGTATATTATTATGTCACTATGTTATTATGTTATTATATTATTATATTATTACATTGCTATATTGTATCATATATTTTTGCAACGCCGAGAGCTTCATCCTTTAGCTTTATCCATATATTATTATTATTATTATATTCAATCATTCATTTCATTCACTTAATCAATCAATTCGTTATTCATTTATCCATTTATTCTATTCTATATATTCTGATCTTTAGGAATTGTTTAGCATGTACAGCAAAGTAAGACGCCATCACCATGGAAAATTCTGGCAACAGCCGAAAGTGGACAATAGCGGCAACGAGCCCTTATCTTTTTCTTGTACTAAAAACAGTCTAGTAGCTTCAGAAAGCCTCGCTAATGCTAAACGATAGTAATCAACTGGAAAATAGGTTGTTTAGAAAAGCATTATTCCTCTTAACGATACTAATTTTTGCTGCTGTCACCCTAGCAGAATATCGTACCAATGTCCATGTCAGAATTACATCATAAAACAGCTTCTAAGTCAAAAAATGTTTCATTATGTAAACCGTTTTCACTTATGAATAGTGGTATTCTTGCAACTTCTAGCAGAACTCTTCCTGTTAAAAATACAGCCTCAATACCTCTTCGATTGTAGCCAAGGGTCGGCGGACCAGTATATGGTTCAGGAGTGGTGAAATTCGTGTAGTTACCCCATGTGTCCGTGAAATTTCCAAACAGAAGCGTGCCATTCTCACCTTAAATATTCTTCACGGATTATGGTTTTACGAAATCGGCAGATCCTCTAACTACCGCAGCAAATCAATCAGGACTCAGTGGAACCCACTTCATAGTTCGTTCTTTCGGGCGACGCTTAGGACAAATAATGGAAGCGTTCTCCAAATTCCTGGCATAATTCTAATTTCATAGGCTCCACTTTACATCATAACAAGATTTTGACGTGATAGCAAAGCACATGGATGAAACGAATTTCGTAATTTCCAAATTTGCATATTCAACGACGATCCCTCTCCATAAAAGCGATCTATAGTCATTAGGAATAGTGCACAAAACTAATGCTTCTTTGCTAAACGGCTTGTACAAGCAACCTATTGTGATGGGCAAAAATGGATAGATTCAGCTCGTCCTCGAACTGGGTCGACTAATCGTGGGAACTACTTATGTCCAAGAAAAAATATGCTCATGAGACTGATATCTTCAACCGATCCCCCAAGGCCTCGCTGTGGTGAAGACCTGGGAACTTACTATTAAGATGACAAATTTTCAAGCCGTAGCAGAATCCCCTTCCAACCACCTTCATAAATAACGGTGGTGCACGTACCCATAGGATACAAGGACGAGTCGTCCAAGTTTTTAAACAGCTAGTAAACCGATATGCTTCTGTATCAAACAAAAGTCTCCACGGTAGCTACTACACCAAAACGCTAGTCATTGAGCAAATAAAATAGAAAGGGAATTTAACTAACCGAATACTGGAGGCACAAAGTACTTCGGAGTGGTGGGCCTTCTTCTTCGTGTTGATCGAGGCGTCAGTGTCGTAGTAACTGTCGAGAATCTGTTGAGAAAATTTTACTAGACCTAATAGGCAGGATGTCTAAAAAACATGATTAGTAGGAACATTTTAACTTACTTTATTGAGAAAATAAAACCATTTAATAACATAATAACTTATTTTTCATCTCAAAATACTCATTTGTGTCTTTACACTCTGGTGACGAGCGATTTCTAAGGGCGACATAATGAAGTTGAAGGAGTGGCCGGTATTACACCAATAGGCGTCACTTTTCTTTCCGGTGGTTTATTTCAACAAATAGAATTGTTCTCCTAGACTTCTTGTAATCAGTCGATAGCTTATCCAATGCAGATGCTATCGGCTGGCGTCGTACCATGAGATGGTATGCTCTTAATAAATTCCTACCTAGTTTATCATTTTGTGGCGAGAGACTATTGCTGTTGAAGGGAGTGTGCGGCATAGAGTATGAAGAGGCGTAGGAAATTCACTGCCTCGAAGAACTCGCAACGGATGCAGTGTGCAGCGCTATTTCTGACAAGCAATTCGCTGTTTTCTAATTTTCAGCCACTGTGATGACTTTTGGTCCCAACAACATCTACTTCTTTGGTAATTGGCGGCCTTACTCCTTCCCTCTACCTACTTATGTTTCTTGAAGAAAAATGTGTTGTTGTTCCTTTCCCAATATAATTCTATACTATTAATACTCAACCAGCATAAAACATACCAAAAACGCCTAGCAACCATAAAACATGTAAAACCTCGATAGCTTCCTTGTTTTACTTAGATCTGGCTTCGGCATTCCCGGAGACCAGCCTGGTGGAGGTCCAAATCCGGGCGGTGTCGGCTCAAACGGCACAAGTCGTGTTACTTCCACTTCCTTCACTACCACCACCGGCACTGGAACCATCTTCTCTTCGACCTAAAGTCAAGCAAACGTTTAAACAAAGAACTACTAAAGACGTTCGTTCTTTCGTACCTGAATCACAGGAGGTCCAGGAATTGGAATTCTATGGACGTACATATTGGGAAACGTGCAGTTGCATCGACCTAATTTAGAAACCGACTTTAGGATGCCTATATACCGTATTTTAACACAGCTTTAATATTAAAATACTACTCAATTCAGCTCGCAATTTCAGTGACAAACCACTGTTTTTAAATTTTCAGCAGAAATATTAAGTAAATATTGAAGCGTTTCTCCAGCTAAGAACTAAAACAAATAAAACCCAATGATTTTAAGAAGAAAGCCAATAAGGCTGTAAGAAAAAAAACTCCGAGTTAGTAGAGCAAGGTGAAATTAAAGACTCCTCACCGTCTTTTCCAGGATTGCCGATCTCACCGACGTCTCCAACAAGTCCAGCCGGGCCTACATTACCCATTGGACCACGTCTTCCTGAAAATACTCCATCCTTTGTACAACTTTTTATTTATTGCTTACTATTTTTTCATGGCAGGCTATCACGTGAAATACAATCACAATGGTGCCGACATATTTGCGAGAGTCAGATTCAAGTCTAGATTCGAACACACGATAAGCCCTTATGGGCGCTCACGTGTTACCCACTGCACCACTGAAGCCGTCACTTTACCTTTATCTCAGCCACATTTTTCACCCCATAATAACATGTGAGCTAACAGGTGAGCCTCCGCGAAGGGTGATCGCAGGTTCGAATCCGGCCTAAAGTCTGAGTTTTGCAAATATCTCATCATAACTGTGAATATATTTCATCCCTTATTTTGCAATCCTAATCTTTGAGGATTTTGATGTTTTTGTTCATGATAATAAATTATGTATTTCTTCCCAACGGCTTACCGCCACATCGTGGTTGGGAAGTGTTCCTGGGTGTCGGGCTGCAATGTACAGCGGCTGGATTCTCCCCTTGGCAGGATCTCCCAAGTTGAAAAGGAATTCGTCGTTTCCACTAGGAAGCCCAGCTGAAAGTAAACCAATACCAGCGTCCGTCGCCGTCCTGGTGTTAAACTAGTCGCATGCTGGTAAATCTCCCTCTGATCCACAAGAGTTGCGACTGCCTGTCGTGGTGACGACCTGGGGCAGACTTTAGCCAGGCTGATCTCGGGACTTCAGCGAACAACGACGATTAAACCAGCAAAACTAGGAAAAAACGAAAATTATGCTGGGTTCTGCACAACCAGTGAAGATGGCATCTCCTAGTATCCAAGTAAAACATACATTTTTATCTGAATGTTGTGATGTCAAATATGCTGTATAACGTAGTAGAATTTTTAAACACAAATCGGCATTCTAAATGTATTTTCGCGTAAAAAACTTGCATCTATTTTAATTCAATACTTTTTACAAAAAGTGTGCAACAATATGTATAAAGGATAAAAGGATAAAGCTCTCGGCGTTGATCATTCCCTAAAGGGATTGCATTATGCATTCGATTTTATTAAGTGTCGTTGTAGGTGAATGAATGCATATCTGGCCTTTACAATGATTTGCGGTGGCCTACCGATGTATCGAGCCGGTGCTGCTATCTTCCCAGACAAGTCTGGTACCAATTTGCCGAACTCGGAGGGATTAGCGGGGCGCGGAGACCGATTTTACATGTGTGGCAATGGCGCCTCCAAGCAATGCGCCACTTGCGCTCTATAGTATGTATATGAAATTAAAGTATACAACTGGAAAGACGTTATAGAAAACTGTCATCACTGGTAATTTTCACAGTTTTCTTAATGAATAAACACTGGGTTGTTATTACACCATTTATTCATTCACAATAGCTGACGTTTCGGCGGTTTTGCCTTCTTCGGAGCCTGGAAAGGTCAAACTGACATGACAATCTACCCAGTCAAACACTTTCAAATTCTTAGCAGATGGAACTTAATGTTCAATTTTTGGACTCTGAAGAAGGGAAAATCGTAGAAACACGAGTTATTACGAAGTGCTGTAATAATAACTTCGTGTTTGTTCATCAAGCAAAAGTGAATTACTGATCAATACCAAAATTAAAAGAAAGCCCGCCCTGGGATTAGTAACGTTTTTTCTATGAAATGGGATAGTATACGACGAAAATAAACAAATGTGTAAACACACTGATAAACAAATGTGTGAACACACATTAACAAACACTTACCAGGTGGTCCGACGGGACCAGGTAACCCTGGATCACCGCGCGCACCTTGAAACCCCATCAGTTTCATTCCGATGTCCGAGCAGTGACGGTGAATTCGAGAACAAGATCGCTCCAGAACGTCTTTCTGACATAACGAGTTAGCTGTCAAACACGCAATAAACCAGTGTAATCTTCGCAAGAAACTTTCATATCCTAATTTTTTATACATTTATAGTCCGATTTCACATAATGTGCCAAATCTACCACTTCTACCATTCATTCCTTGTATCGCATTGGTCATCTACGAAGGTCTCCAAATTTACACGTGAATTCAGCTGAAACTTGAAGACCCTCGTCACGAACGTGGTTGACTTCTGGCACAAATCTCTCTGGAATGAGATGACCTCTGGAATGAGCTCCTGAGGTAGCTCTAATACAACATTCCCAGTTCTTCACTACGAAAACGATCGCCGATATTTCTGATACAGAAACAGCTTTCCTTAGGCAGGTCTGGAAACAGTATTCCAATTCTGAAGGGATAGGAGGTTCGTTTGAGCCGCCGAGAAGTCATCATCGACCATGTTTGTAATTACTGTAACGCTTACCATTACTGCAGTACGGTTACTTTCTCATATCTTTTTTCATGGTATAATTCGCCCCAGATTCTGAATTTTAGTACGATTAATAGATATAACTGACGAATAAATGCATATTTATGAATAAAAATATAAAACAAATGAATCAGATAGGTTCTTTTTTGGGCACACAGAACACCTGCATACGAGTTCACTACAAAAAAAGCCTTGGAAGCTCAACAGATAGAGTTCTATAAGAAAATCGGTTCTTAAAAAGAAGTTTTCAAAGATTCCAATTCATGACTCGTTAGGGGTCAGCACGCTATCCATTCGTATCATTCACTCATCTTCGTCTCTGGCAAGATAGCTCCAAATATTTTAAGCTGAGTTCTCATTTGCCGATTGGCATCCTCGATCCAAGGCGTCCAGTAATTTCGCTTTTCGTCACAAAAACGTCATTTGTGTTCATCAATCATCGTTTTTTCTCTCGCGACATGTTCTCTTCGACAAAATTCTCCACCTACACGAACTGCAATAAATTAGTAAAACGTATCGCTCGCTTTACGTAGGTTCATTCCTCCTACAAAGCTTCATTTGTTAATGCGTCGTCCATCGACTTATCGTCCAGAAAAGACCACTGAACATTTTACGAATGTTGTTAAATGTTTATAATCCTTTTCTCTCGTTGTTTTCCATGCCCACTAAATACCACCAGTTGCTTTTAACATCATACGTCGGCACTTTTATCCTACAATCTATATCTTAGTGATTAACGATTTTCCAACGAAAGTGTGCCGGTTGTGGAATCGGGAGCAGCCTTCTTTCTCTTACTGATCGATCCGAGCGAAGTTTGCAGTTTCGCGACAAGATTTCATCAACAGGGCGGCTATTTCTGCCATTCGTTTTATCTTAGCCGGACCGGAAAGACAAGTTAAATCCTCAAGACAATTCATTCGGCCATGATGAGGCGATAAATCAGTGGGAGAATGGGCAAGAGGAAACAATTCAAATCTTGAATTATCCTCACGATCAATTTCGTATTTGTCTTTTAAATGTAGAAGACTCATTTAGTCACCTTAGTCACCAGTGTATAAAGCACTCATCCCGCACTTAACACCTATGCAACGAAGTGCCCTCTATGGGATCTATAGAGTCATAAGATGCGGAAAGAATGGGTGCTTTCAACTTTACATCAACATTTCTCAGCTCATAATGAATTTTACTAATTGCAATAGAGAATACTGAAATCTATCAGCTTTGCATATAGAACAAGGCTCCTATGTTTTACTAAAACGAAGTTCTGGTTTTCTGGAGGTGATAACATATATTTCCTTCACTTTTGCAATTCCACCCAGCAAGACAAGGTGGTGTTCTTCAATGGATCACTTATCTTTTCAGCACTCGCTTTTACGTTGGGTATTTTAAAAACTTAAATTCCTCCATCGATTTCCTTGAAGAGTGATCCTAATTTTAAATTTAAATCCGAAAAAGCCGCGTGTAAAAAATTTATATGACTTCGTTACGATAGAAGAAAGTCTTCCTTATAATTCTTAAAGTTCCGAACCCCAGAAATATTCTAGTGACTCAGCAGTTATCCATCGTTCAAAACCAGTTTCGTTAAAAAAGTGTTCGAAACGCTTCTCGTATAAAGAGATCTACAACTAGTAGACATAAAATTATTCACTTACTGGAATTAGAGTGTTTTGTCCCAAAATGATAGTGTACTCCTCAAGATCTGCTGGTAGGTTACTTTTGGCGGATCGTTTCATGCGTACATCCAGGGAATCTCTTACCGGCTCCCGCAAGTCGCACTCAAACCTCTGTAAGCGAAAAACCAGTAAAATAATCGGAATTGGTTTGCGTAAGGTACGACCTTACTAGACACATCTAGCTGATCTCTAACAGGTAGCGTGAAAGTTGCAGAGAGAAAAATGTAAATAAAAGTTGATAAAACTTACCGTCACTCCATTGTTTCCCACTTACTCAAGAAGGCTTTCTTTTTCGAGCTTTTACATCAATTTAAAAGAAACTTCTGGTAAAAGGCCAAGAAACTAACAAATCGTTCAGAATGTTTGCAACACCACAACTCCCAAATATAAGTTTGAACAGTTCTTCGCTATCCATCTCTTCTGAAGAAATCTGTATGCACTATGAACCCTCTTATTCCCCTGATACTTATAAGAACCCACAATGTAATGAACAGCATCGTGAAAGCAAGTAAGTATGAATATGTATTGAAAAGCAACACCATCATGAGGCTATAATACGTCTGAACGAATCTTTTTGAACTACAGCTTCCACTGTATTGCAGCACCTTACAAAAGTAATACCAAACATTGTAACTTACAAACAAGAAAAAAATCGAGTTACCCACAATAATCGTGATATAGGCGTGTAAATAGAATACAATCAGAAGGAACAGATTCCCTATTTGGGCAATAACTACCCATCGAGGTACACGTGCCGAAATCGCTTCCGGCAATGGTGCTAACTTTCCCGCAATGTCATCCATGCCGGACTAGTGCAGAAGTCGTAGTTGTTAAGCGCTTGCGAGCCATGAAATGTGATATGCACAAACCATGGATGGCGGTTAGAATCGACAATAAACAGCCAAGTTTAGCGGTCCTAATCAAAGTGGTGCAGCACATTAAATCAGAAGTCAATCCCAACTAGTGAAGAGTAGAACCACAACATCACTTATTGCAACGGATTTCTTTGCTAAATTATAGTAAACGTAGAACTGTTTTGTAACACTTCGTTAGTCTGACCCTATGACGTTAGTATTGCCAAGCAGAAACGAAAGCTATTCAGAATAATTTGATGAATAGGAACCTTATATGTGACCAGACCCCTCGATTTTACTCTTCCGAAAACCTTTACTAACGTTCCTTCACGTACTCATCTACCTAAAAAAAAAACCCACAATTATCGTCGTACCATCGTCCCCTATGACAAAGAAGCCTGGATCAGATGTGGAAACATTGTTCAACAGCGAGTCTTCACAGCAAGTACAGTTCAAAAAATATTTTGTATACGTTTATATTCCGTCATAAGCATCACTACAAATTGGACAGCAAAAGTCCTGCATAATCGGGAAAATAGACGGAAAGGAGATAGAAGACATGCACATGGTAAGAAATCACATTTGATTTGAAAGGGATTGCACATAACATTGGTAACCAGACATTCAAAAAATTCTCAAAAATTACAGATGTGCGTTTGAGAAAACTGACAGCCAAATGCTCTTACCGCTCTATAACACTATGCCAGAGAACAAAATATTGGAACGGTACGATGAAATATGAAAATGATCATTAAATAATAAGCTCCCACCTAGCTCAAACACGCAAATTGGCCATTAATGAGTAAAGCAGGTCTTCTATTTTGATTCTGAAGAGTGAGATTATTCCCTTATACTTCTATGCTCAGGGTTTAAGTACAAATGAGAACAAAAATGATTGGAAAGTGTCGGCGATAATTCCATCGGAATCCGGATAGCATTAAGAGCACTAATATTAGACAATAGTGCTCATAATTCCACAGACTTTCCCAAGCGTCGTAACCTCACTGAAAATTTTTTACATTTACAAAAAATGTTGTTAACTAAGTGTTAAACACTCTGTCCTCCTACAAACAGTGGAGAAAAAGAGGTTAACCTATTTTAAACAAAGTGAGGAGCGCATAAATATTTAGATGACTCGTTTTCACATGTCATGCGGGTTCTGGCATTTTCCCTTTTTTCGTTGCCCTGCAACCGTTATCCACATAGGTGACGGCGTTCGGGTTTGAATTCGTTTGCAACTCGAGCACTTGTCATTTTGCCCTCCTCAATGACACACTGGGCAATAATTGAGCATGTTCTTCCGTGAAAGCACGAGATATACAAGGTAGTGAGTTTCCAAGCCATCACCATATGAAGTTTTACCCTTGCAGAATATGGAGGTTCGTTGTTATGCGACTAGGACTCTTCTAAAAGGATAGCAAATCCTCTGACGGCAACGAATCCTGAGATTCCCAAAACCGACTTCCTGTTAACCTCAGCACTGATTGATAATTTGATGTTTTTCTTCAATAAGCAAACACGAGGTTATTATTACAGAATTCATTAGGATACAATAGTTGACGTTTCGGCGGTTTCGCCTTCTTCAGGGCCTGGAAAGGTCAAACTGAGATGCGATCTATTCAACCAAACACTTTCATAATCCCAGCAGATAAACCTTAACAAATAAATTTGTATTCGCATAAGAAACAGCTTCATTTAAACAGCTACCGTTTATTTGTTGTAAATATTTAAGTTAGTTGATGGATACCAGCCGCACAGAGCACATGGGCGATAACTGTGTCAGTGTTAGGCCATTTGATTAGCCTGAGGTATGGCGCCAAGTCTCGCGTGATGACAAGACACTCCTCCTTGCGGTTCATTTTTGAATTTTTGGAATTGATCCAAAACGCTTCAAGAGTTTTGATGTTTTCGATTCGTGCGTGAGGATAGTGACTCCTGCTTCGACATCTTCTCGGTTGTGTTCCCACATCCTATGCGCGCCTAGTGGAGTGTTTGGTTTTAATTTAGATTTACTGACTAGGTGTTCTTTTATGCGGACGCAAAACGGTCTACCCGTTTCGCCAACGTATTCGTCCCCGCACGCTTTACAAGAAATCAGATAGACTGTACTCCAACTCATGCAATCACCATCTCTACCGTTAGGGCAAATTATACAGTTTTTCTTTGTGCATAGACGGTCATAAAGGCGGTTGCGAACTTACTGGCGTCGTGGAGTGTCCGATGGTATTTCTATCACTCTTACGGAATTCTCTAGAGCGGCCCTTATTAAGCAACGTTTTATAGCTGCACTTTTTTCGTTTGAAATAAAGGGCAAGAGGAATGGAGCATTGTTTTTGCTAGAATTATCGCTCTGGAGGTGGGTTTTGCTCTACGTCTATACCGAGAAGTTACAGTTTCGTAACCATTTGAAATGGCTATTTGGCGCGCAAGTTTCGAGGATTCTTCCCTCTGGTTTTTACCTGTGTACATGCTGGCAGCGGTCTCTCTTATAAGCGCCCTTTTAGTGTGTTAGGGATGAGAGGAGAGGTAATGAACCACTATATTCTTACTGCTTGGCTTTCGATACCATTTTTTGTTGTAACCGTTTTCGGATAGGTTGATTTGAACGTTTAGAAATGGAAGCCAGTTTCCTTTCGGTTTCTCACGGGTGAATTTTATTTACTCTGACTGTTCATTCAATAACTTAAAGAATTTGTCCATCTCCTCTTGTGTGGAGCAGATTACAAAACAGTCATCTATATACCTACAGTAGAGTAATGGCCTGAGATCGATTACTGGTGCTTCCACTTTAGACATAAAGGCAACGGCAAGGGTTAGTGCCAGTCGCTGTTCCATTGCCAGCCCTCCAATTTGCGCGTAATATTTCCCAGACCATCTGAAGATCAAGCAGTTTAAGCAGACCTTTAGGAAGACTATAAGCTGCTGAATCGAAAAGCCATAAATGTTAATTGCTCCTTCGTGTTGCTCAAGAAGCTCGCCGATGGCTTGCATTGCGGAGTCATTCGACACGTTAGTGTAAAGGGCGGTAACGTCGAACGACTCCTTTGGGAGGTGCGTTGCGCAGATGGTCGGAACATTTGGGTGTTCATGAGATGGGCTGGTATGTGCTTAAGCAACTGGTTGAGGATTAGATTTATAAACCAAGCAATTCTGTCCGTAGGCCCGTCTACACAACTGATGATGGGTCCAACTTTAAAGATGGAGGGGTCGGTAGACGCCAGATCATCAGCGGATATTAACTCATGGGTTTGATAAGTATAAGACGGGACATGTCGACACTTCGATCTTAAGATGCGAAATGTCCGCTGGTTTTAAACCTGCTGCGGTTGCCATTTTCACCATTGTAATGTCAAAGATCACCGTGTTAGGAGGCGTAACTCTCATCCACCTTTAAAGTTAGACCCATCATCAGTTGTGTAGACAGGCCTACCAGCAGAATTGCTGGGTTTATAAATCCTTCTAATCTAACCTCTAATCCTCAACCAGTTGCTTAAGCACATACCAGCCCATCTCATGAACACCCAAATGTTCCGACCGTCTGCGCAACGCACCTCCCAAAGGAGTCGTTCGACGTTACCGCCCTTTACACTAACGTGTCGAATGACTCCGCAATGCAAGCCATCGGCGAGCTTCTTGAGCAACACGAAGGAGCAACTAACATGTATGGCTTTTCGATTCAGCAGCTTATGCTCTTCCTAAAGGTCTGCTTAAACTGCTTGATCTTCAGATGGTCTGGGAAATATTATGCGCAAATTGGAGGGCTGGCAATGGAACAGCGACTGGCACTAACCCTTGCCGTTGCCTTTATGTCTAAAGTGGAAGCACCAGTAATCGATCTCAGGCCATTACTCTACTGTAGGTATATAGATGATTGTTTTGTAATCTGCTCCACACAAGAGGAGATGGACAAATTCTTTGAGTTATTGAATGAACAGTCAGAGTACATAAAATTCACCCGTGAGAAACCGAAAGGAAACTGGCTTCCATTTCTAAACGTTCAAATCAACCTATCCGAAAACGGCTACAACAGAAAATGGTATCGAAAGCCAAGCAGTAAGAATATAGTGGTTCATGTCTGCTTATTGAAGAAAAACATCGAATCCTGAGAGCAATCAACTGAATGTTAAAGAACGATGTAACAAACCGAATCCGAAAGTAGCAGTATGCAAAACAAATGCAAACCTAACATAAGTCTAAGTATTCGATAATTGAATGGCCCACTGTTTACGGACAACCATATCCTGGAAGTTTGTAAAATTTCCATATTTCTGGCCCTAAAGAGTTTCCCCGTGTAGTTCGCAGAAAGCTGCAATAAGTGGCTTCTTCTCCACCACTAATGGCAATCGTCAACTTTTGTGGATCGAAGGGAACTCTTCCGCCAGGTTACTATCAAGACGCTGTTATTTGCTGGCATAGGATTGCTTTACTCTTAAATGAGTTTCCGGTAGCTAACGTCAAACTTTTTCTCAGCCGAGGTGATCTTAGTGTGAGTTTTGTCATAATTAGTTACTAGAGGCAGAAGATCAACAATAAGGGAACAAATCAAAATGCCCACCTAGCCGACTGGTTAAAAATCAATTTGCATACAAAATTACCGCAGATAAGCACACAGACACAGAGTTTGCATACCACATTCACTTCATATCTGCAATAATTTTGAAGACTCACATCGTTCATAATTTTTCTCAAGCGCTTCAGATACACGATGGCGGGCCTCCATGGACTGGAACGCGATCCCCACTCGAAGAAGAGTCTCATTTTCCTCCACGGACATCATCATATCCATTTCAATTTGATTTCCCAACACAGCTTGGCGCTGTAAAAAAGGAAAAAAACTAAAATTTGAAGACACGAAAAACTTTTGCATACCGAGAACAGTTGATGAAATAACTGTTTACAATGAACGTCGACTAAAATCGACAGCATTCATTTGTCTCAAAGAATATTTGACATGCATTTGCAACTAACATTTTCCACAGTTCTAAAAAGCACAAAAAGTATAATTAAAAAAGCTGACGTATATATATATGCATATGCATGCTTTAGCATAAAAAAAGATAAAGTTCTCGGCGTTCATCAATCCCTGAGGATGTGTCATGCATTGGACTTCCTTAAACATGGCTGTGATCGAATGCATCTGTCCTTTACAATGACTCGCGGTGACCCACCAATGTATTGAGCCAGTGCTGCTGTCCTCCCAGACAAGTCTGGCTTTTAGAATGTATGATGCTCATAACAAGAAATATCTCCTCTAATATTTACAACCATTCGCACTGACGGACAAAATTTTACAACATAAACTAAACGAAAAGGAAAAAAGAGGAGGAAGAAGGAGGACAAGAGCAAAAACCAATATTCAGAATATTCAAAAAAAAAGAACGAATGCATAGTACACGACCACAGATGAAGAGAGGTAATTTATACAACCACCAACTAACCTGGTTCTCAGCTCTAAACTCGGTAAGAGTCTGCGTGACAAGTGTTGATCGAAGAAGTTTGGCCAAAAGTTCTGGAGTAATAAAATTGGACTCAATATTCAACACTTTCAACGAAGGGGATTTCTCTATGAGTTCGACCAAACCCTGAAAATATAGTCCTTTTTTATTAGGACCGAATGCAACAAATTTACAACGTCAACAGGATGAAAAAAACAGCTCATACAAATTTCGTGTGACATACCCTTGCTTCGCTATCCGAAATTGCTGTATTGGCCATACTCAATTTTTTTATGTGCTTACTTGCACATGCGGCACTTATTAATCTTCTGATTTTCTCCTAAAACTAAGGAACCTTAGGAGAGAAGTGAAGCAACGCTTAAGAAAAAGCATGGTCACGAAAAGCCAAACTAACTTTAGAAACCCGCTTCATATTGTTAATGTTAACTTCGGTCATTTCCTGCTCATTTTCTTCTAGCCTCCTTAACAAATACAAATAGGGAACACCAACCATGACATTAACTTTGATATAAAGATACTTTAATAGCAAAACTCACTTAATACAATCATCGACGTCAGTTTGGTTATCCGGTTCATCGGGTGTTTCCTTCGGTTCATAAGCACGGATCACACCCGTAAACGTTGTACCCGTAGAGTCATCTTGCTGTTTTCCTCTTAGAGCATTATAATACTGCGGCTGATTCAGGATGTTATGCATGCCTGAATAAACAGTTGAGCTTTGTTTTTAACGTCACCAATGATCGTCAACACTTTAAAAAAAACGAGAAGGAATTACCAAGAATTCCCGCTAGGTCTACAAGATCTCTTTCGGGCGCACCGTCCAAAGCTTCATTGAAATCATCTTCTTCGTCGTCAAAATCAAGTTCTATTGGCATCTCCATTCCAGCGATTCCTGAAGCTGCCCGCCCTTCTCCTCCGTCATCACTACCATGATCACCCTCCCATACCTTGCCTAAAGTCATCAACAAATTTAAACGATTAGAAATTGATTTTTGAGTAAGAAGAAGTAAGTAGAGATTGTTTTAAAACGCACCGCGTTTAACTCCTGGGGAGAAAGGTACAACGTCTTCCCAGTCCTTTTCTTTCTTTGCCTGGTCCTCTAGGAATTTTAGAAGTTGGTCTCTTTTGTATGGTCCTGTTGGAGTTTTACTAGTCTGGTCACGACAACGTTGTGATGGCGGTAGCATGGAATTCTGAAAATGAGAAACTTCCGAAAACCAACTTGAAGAAATTTCATAATAAGGCGTTTCCACATTGGGAAATAAAAAAACATCTATGACAACAGCAACAATGAAACACATTGCTCATTGACTGTTGTAAGCGTCAGCTACCATCAACATTTAAAATTCTATAGATTTCTATCAGCATTCACGTCAGATGACAACTATCACTTCAATCTACATTATTCAGCAAAAGCAAGTTATTTTCGTCAACCTACTTACTTTATGTGTAAACAAGTTTTTCAAGTTCCGCAAATGAATTACAATTTAGTTGACTTTATAAAGCATATTTTCAGTAATATCAGCCAATGTAGCTACACCCACAAAGCTTGCTCTGAGCTAAAACAAACACTGTGATTCTGTATAATACGACTTAAAACGCTATGTAGAAATAATGTACAAAACGTGATGAAAAATAGCCAATCGTTGCCTACTAGGTATTTCTTTTTACCATCCCCAACCCTCAACGTCATATTCAATGCTTCATAAACCAGGAAGACTCCATATTTACTGGTTCCGTAAAAACGGCTATTTCAATATGTGACACGTTCTAACCCTTTTTTGAAAGCTAGTACTCACTTACTGACTCTAAAAGTAGAAAATAAATGCGCGTTTCTATAAAATGAGCAAAAATGTCAGAAGCGATATTGTGCATTTCGCCACTGAGCGAAAACCCCTGTCACCATATAACTCTCTTCTACGGTATTCACAACAACGTGAATTGACTTCAATGCGTTTTCTTCTTTTCATTTGGTGCACAACTTCTTTGTTGCACTCAATCGATAACCCTCTCAACCATAGGCGGTCCTGGGCGGTCCGAGAAAAACGATATCCAACAATTAACAATTCACGAAAAAACTTTTTTCCGACAAGTTTGCTTGCCATATCACAGCGATTGTTGTTAATGAGAAGGACACACAGACATCTCGGGTGGCAGGAGATAACGACAGGTGACAAGTGCGCTAAGATGTCTCCGCTACATAAATACACGTACATGGTTCTCACTTTGGGTTAACCAGTACTGATAAGGTAACTTGAAAAACGTTGCTAATAAGGGCATCTTATGGACTTCTTTGGGTATACAGCAAGCACTGACTTCGTTGTCTTCAATCGACGAGAAATTAGTCATTCATACACCGGGAAATCACGCGTCCTGAATATGTTAACAAATATTGACTACCTTCCTTGTTTAGATAGTCGTGCAGAATCCAACCAAACGGACGTATAAAACTTTTAGCTGTCGGAGCATTGTTTACATTCTCCAATTCTGATCGTACGCGACAAAGCTTGAGAGACCTTCGACTGAAGACGAGAAGGAGGAAAGTCTCTGTTGCAAGTCATTCGGAAAATTTATCAAACAAATAAAGCCGAAACCATAAGACGTACCCATTAGAATGAAAAATACGACCTAAAAGATACTGAATAAACTTCCGCCAAAAGTTCCTTAGAACAGCTTTTGGCCTTATTGATGGAAATAAAACTCAAATGTCTGATAACACTCAGTTCTTGGGAAGGAGTGTGAAATCGCTCAACACTTTTATCAAATGTTTTTCATCAATAAGCAGACACGAGGTTGTTAATGTAGAATTTATTAGAACACAATTGCTGACGTTTCGGCNNNNGTTTCGCCTTCTTCAGAGCCGTTTATTTGTTGTAAGTATTTAAGTTAGTTGGTGGATAGCCGCCGCACAGAGTAATACATGGTCGAATATAGAATTTATTAGAACACAATTGCTGTGCGGCGGCTATCCACCAACTAACTTAAATACTTACAACAAATAAACGGCTCTGAAGAAGGCGAAACCGCCGAAACGTCAGCAATTGTGTTCTAATAAATTCTACATTAACAACCTCGTGTCTGCTTATTGATGAAAAACATTGAATTATCAATTAATGCCGAGGTTAACAGAAAGTCGGTCATGGGAATTACTTTTATCAAAATCCTTGGCACGCAGTCGCCATACCTATTTGAAAAAACTGCGTCGATTTTTCCCTTTTTGAAGAAATTGATCTCCACCGTTTTGCACACTTCGCACCGAAATCGACTCAGTTATCAACAATAATGAAAGAAAGCTTTGTTAGTTCTAACACTTTTCAAGTGTACCAAAGGATCTTAGGTGTTTCTTAGGCAATGCCCTATGACCTCCATTAGTTATCCCTTTCTCTCTTCAGTAAAAAAAAAAGCCAGTAATAAAGCAGCAAGAACGTAAAACAACTATCTCATAGGAGCAAAATCACCGGAGGATAGAGAAGTAATTCGGTTGTGAAACAGAGCATGGACAATGCATATCATATGAACATTTCACAGTTTAATATCCTGCTAACTTCGAAAAACGCACAAATTAACCCTCGGATATGGTGCAAGGAACTACACTTAAGTGGTAAAACACGAAGAGACAGTTTTTCGGAAGGAAAAGTGTTGAAAACAAAAAAAAACCGGAAAAATAGCAGTAGGCAAATGGACATATTTCAAAGTTTACACATATGTAACCAGTAAAAATGATAAAAAATACTGAAAAGTATCGCTATAAATAACGAAACCCACATCTGGATCGAAATCATTGTTGAGGTCTTCGAGTTCATCTATACTCAGACTAGACAGTAAACCATCAATATCGTGGTCATCGAGATCCTAAAACAGAAATCTAGAGAAAGGCATAGAACACCTATACATTCCAAACTTCAAATCAGCTGTGAACTTCACATTCCCTAAATCGAAACGATTAAAACATGTATAAGGAACTGAATTCAGAAGAAAGAAGAAGATAACTTCCGAAGAATCACAAACCTTTAATCCTTTTCCGCTGAGCTTCGTCTGAGATATCGGCGGATGTCTGGTATGTTTTGCGATCGTAGTCGCAGCGAAGGTCTTCTCCTCCGAATAGTAGCTGAAAATTCTCACTAGAAAGCCAGTTTCCTAGGAGTTTTTGTCCCCAAAACACTAATAGCTAACTGTAAGCGAACTCATGAAGGATGAAATAAAGCCCCTCAAACGGAATACTAATGACGACCACAAACAAGTACTAACAGCTTGAGCTAGTAAGAAATTTAATGCTTTTCAGTACACTGCTGTTAAAACTGTTTAGTCTTTGACTGTATCATGGAAAACCTCATTGGATGGTCACAATATCCAATATGAGATCAAAGTAATATATAATGAGATTAGCAACTAAGAAGTAAGTAAACCCTTTCTTTGTTAGCATAATTTAAAACTGTAAAACAGTGATCGATCTCATAGAAAAAGGTTATCAAACCCAAGGTCTATCGGCAAATTCAGAAACCTTCCAGACGCAGGTACATCAAGTAAAATGATTTGTGATAACCAATGGATAAATAAAAGTGTTTTATTCTAGAGATAAACCTTTTATTAATCGACCGATCAGAGAAGAGGAATAGAGCATCGTTAGATAAGGAATCGAACTAGCATCCATACAGTCAGGAAGACTACATACCACATCAGATTCCACTTCGCTCCTCTTCGATGATAAAAAAGAGAAAGCCAAGAAAATAGAAAGTTATGCGTAACATAATCGAGTATGTACTAACATTTGTATCACCTTTCTATTTACAAGTTCCACATGTATAACAACACACGTAGATTTCTAAAAAAAGAAAGGGGAACGAATGGAAATCCCATTCAGAAAGTACAGGTATCTTCTGAGACAGGTCGATGGGAATACAATACGTCACAAACATGAGTTACAAAATAAAATTGCGATTTAAATATAAAAACACCTCCGTTTTCCTAAGAATATGGAGCGCTATTGACTAAAATTCTGAGATAAAAGAAAGATACTGTTAGCTATTGTAACCACTTTGAACTTACTCGCCATGAAAGATTCGACTTCTCGGTATTAGCGGCTGCTGGCCTAATTCGGACATCTCCGTCGGTATTCTCGACACTTCTACGGCTGGTGGGGTTTGATTGGAACGCGAAAGCAAACGATGAGGGTTGAGGGTTTGGTGTGCGCAGGTCGCGAGGTCGCTTGCGCATGTCTTCATTCACTATGCAAACAGAAAATTCGTGTAGACATTGGCGCTCACCCGCTCTCTCATACGACATAATGCGGCAAAATCCAACACTCAAACGCATGGAACTCACTCGGATCGGCTCATCTCGAACACTGTGACGATGGTCCGAAGCGGAACAGAACAGCAGCAAACGGCGACAACGACGATGACGATGATGAGGACAGAGACGACGACAACTAGGGGGCGACCACCGATGTCCTGCTGTCCGGTCGTGTGTGTGTGCGCCGGTGTCTGTCGGTGTGTGTGCGTGTGTATATGTTTGTCTGTGTATGTGTGTATGTGCCATGTCGTGCTTCCGCCGTTGATCGATACTGCACCAAATGTTTGCGTTCACTGAGTATCGCGCTATTTCGCATAGTATTGCGTACGCAGCTAAAAGCTGCAACGACGAGAGTGTGTTTCGAGCAGTTGTTAAGCTGTACACTCAATTCGTTCATAGTACTCTTCCCATTGTTATTAGCCAAGTGTTCAGTGTCATCCACTCTACGGTGTTTTCTCGTTGCAAACCTCACTGACGACGACCACCACCAATACTGCTGGTTGATGACCCCATTGAAACACGGTGGTGGTTGTGAGGTGCATCGCCGTCCCCCAACCAGATCCTTGTGTCTGGAGAGATCTATAGGCGAGCACTTAAGTGGAATCTAGTCTTTGACGGCTTGTCGTGTAGTTTCCTATGAAATTGAAGAACGTGGTGCCATTCGGAAGCCATTCTAGAGGCAGACACCGGCGTCAATGGTGTCATGACCTTGACTCCTTTCCCATCCTTACAAGGTCACCAATGTGTGGTGGACAGTGGATTCGTAGGCGATGGGTAGAACACTGGTCTGCCGTTAGCTAGAACTTGGTTGTCGTCATGGAAGATTAGTATATGAGGCGATTCAGGATTGCTAATAGTGGATTTTACTCGATGTTTTTCTTCAATAAGCAGACACAAGGTTGTTATTATAGGATTTATTAGGATGCAATAGCTGACATTTCGGCGGTTTCGCCTTCTTCAGAGCCGTTTATTTGTTGTGTTCAAGCTAGTTGATGGATAGCAGCGGCACAGAGTAATACATGGGCGATAACTAACTTAAATACTTACATCAAATAAACGGCTGTGAAGAAGGCGAAACCGCCGAAACGTCAGCTATTGCATCCTAATAAATCCTATAATAACAACCTCGTGTCGGCTTATTGAAGAAAAACATCGAATTATCAATCAATGCCGAGGTTAAAAGAAAGTCGTTTGTGGGAGTGGATTTAATCTCAGCACACGTAGATGGTCCCTAGGAGGATCGACCATTTAGACAATTATTTGTCACCTTTACTAAGGTTTAATGAAAGTCGGCTTTTAAGATATGACGTGGCTCACATCTGCTTAACTGTTCGTCATTCTGTAAGAGTTTTAATTAGAAGAGAGGAAGTCAATGTGAGAGCCTCACTGGTACAGTGAGTAACTAGTGAGCTCCAGAGAGGATGATACAGGGTTCCGATCTTGCCCGTGGTCTGAGTTTTGCAAATGTCTCAGCATCAATGTGGTTCTGTTTCACATTTTTAAGTGTTCAAGGGCTTCACAGTTATTCGATGTTATCTACGTCATCCTCTTGACGACGATCATCGTCGTCTGCAACTTCGCGACCACATTTCGAATTAGGCGATGTTTTTAGGGCCAAATAATTTTGGCGAATTCGCAGACAGAAGGCTCCCATTTAGAACTTAGCCATGAAGTGAGAATTCTGTTCCTTCCATACTTTTCCTTACCAACGTTATATTGGCCTTTTTTCTTCCTATTCTGGCAATGTTTTTAGTCCTTCTATGACAGCGATAAGGTTTCCACATGTTGTCAGTGTGATGATTTCAGATTGGTTGAAGTACGGTTTAAAAAAAAGGAGAATGGTGATGAATATAGGGGTAGGTGAACGCTAACATATACTAAGCTCTGGATTATTAACGGTCGATAGAGAATCACTGGGAAATGTTGGATGATCTGGCTAACAAGACGGTAGATGTTTCATTGGAAGATGAAAAAAGTGTTCCTTTGAAAGGAGGTATCAAGAAAAGTATCAGTTTTAAGTACCGTTCCCAGGGCGACGAATTTGGTTCTCTCCAATATAATCTTCAATAAAAAGTCAGTGCTTTATATAAATCACATAAAACTTGAATGGACGTTTAGTTAGGCGTCGAAATAAACCGAATAAAGTAATGAACATTCTTAAATTTCCTCTCTTTCGTCTTCCTTCCACCTTTTCTGTTCTGCAGCTTTCTTACCGTAACTTATATTTTTACGAATAAATGCAGAACGATTAAAGTGGTTGGACAGTTTAGGGACGATTATCGTTTCTGTTATTTTTGTTGTTATGGAACATCATAAAAAAGGGCGTGTGTAGCGCAGTGGTCGGAGGCGTCCAGCAATACAGAGGATCCCCGCACCCGTGGCTCACTAAGCTTTCAATTCCTCCAGAGTCGGCAAATTGGTACCAGCTATGTCTGCAAGGATAGTATCACTGACTTGATACATCGGTAGGCCTCCGCGAGTCATTGTAAAGGCCAGATATGCATTCAATCACCTCCAAACGATGGTTAATGAAGTCGAATGCATGGCACATCCCTCAGGGATTGATCAACGTCGAGAGCTTTTATCCTTCATGGGACATCATGAGTATATATGTGGTTTGCAGTTAAAATTAACGGAATGAAAGTCGCCGTTGTTTGAAGACGGTTTTTTTGTGATTAAAACAGGATTTTATATAATATTTGATCTTCTTGTTGTCTGGATAGTTTTACTGAAGTAGTAAATTATCGAGATATGTTCAGTTATTGATATGTTTACAACATGTCGATTCTGATTAATGGAGTCATTAAAGAACAGATGTTGCAGTAATTCGCTGTTTTCTTGATAAGCACACATGAGGTTGTTATGAGACTCTCCACTCACAAAAAAACTGACGTTTCGGAGGCGGGTTTCGCCTTCATCATAGAAGGGTCGAATTGACTTCAATCCATCCTTCCAAATACCTCCATAACCAAACAGGGAAAGCATGAAACTAAGATTTTAATCGGATTGAAAACAAAATGGCTTCTTCGTACACCCACTGCTTTCAATGAGTCTTCCACTGAGTAGTCCATGTGAAGACCAACCGAGCAGAGTTCACATTGGAAGCGTTGTGTGCCTCTCACACTGGAATAGGAGTCTTAACTACTGTCCGATACCATGCGTGATTATGAGGCATTCATCCCTGGGGCTCATTTTCGGATTCTTGGAATCTATCCAGAATGCTTCGAGAGTTTTGCGCGCTGTAGCTTTCCATTACTGTACGAGGCTGGCGACTTCTACTTCAAAATAGATGTTGCGGTTGTTCGACTGTTTTCTTCCTTACCTTTTCTTGGGAAAAACATTGGCATAATTCATTATTACGTCTTCTCGTTTTTTAAGCACAAGTGTTATGTAGTTCTCTCCGATTACTTTTGCTAGCACTTCGAGAACTGTCCAGCAACTTGAGCATGGCACGGTTATTGACGAGGGTAGGTATTGATCGATTCATTTAGCTTATGGCTTGTCTTAGTTCTGCTTGAGTGAACTCGCTGCATTCTAAACTACTACGCTATAATGTCTGTAGGTGGAAAAATTTATGAGGTGAAAACCGGAAAAAAATTGGTAGATGATGAGAGATGACTAAATGATCGATCATTTAAGAAATGAGGCACTCAGCTGAATTGATATTCAGCTTTGATTTTGCGAATATAGATGTGGAAAATCAATTAGCTAGGGTAGCAGATGAGTACTGTAGCATATCCGCCTATTTTCTCCAAGGTGGAGCGTACTAAAACCATTTCCTCACTAGAACATCTTCGGCTAGTGATCATTGTAAAGCAAGCCAGTTG